TTCTACCAGTTCTAATCAGTAGTTCACATCTGTACCCCCAGTCCCTGCTCCATCCTCACTCATACTGGTCATCTGCTCCACTCACCTGCTTTGACCCCTAGTTACCTGCTCTGACCTGTCCGTAACCATCCTTCCCACCAAACTACCCAACCCACCACCCTGGCTTGTACCACTGCTCCCTTTAAAATAGCCAATAGGGTTAGTTTTGTCTAACCCTGGTCAATAGGGGAATGACACAGCAGTAGGGGCAACCTCCATCAGGAATAAGTAGCCCTTCCCCTCCCTTGTCCAGGTGTGCACTTGCCATTGTTCCATCTGTGAGCTATAGAAGTAAATTGCCTTGCTGAGGAAATATTCAAGTGCTAACTTATTTTTTGGCACCAAAAATTTTATATATAACAACTTGACCCAGGTGTACACCAAGAAACTACCATTTATATGTGTGTGTGTGTCTATATCTGTCACACACATATTTATATGTGTATATGTGATATACATACACATGAATATGTATATATAAATATATATATACCACACACATATATATACTTTAACACATTTTACAATTCCAACAAGATATTGTTAGAGATCTCAGAAATTTCAGTTCTTTTTTTTTTTTTTTTTTTTTTGCAAATGCCATATAAATGAGAACCTTAATCATGGGCCAGCCTATAAAGACTTTTATATTTAATACTTCTACTTGCATTCCTCTTTTTTTAGTCCCATTATAAAATGTTTTCTATGCTATCTGGGAAAACATATGTTCTACTATATAGTCTTCTCTATTATCATCCCAGTATGTTTTTAATATCAAAGTATCAGAGAGCCAATTATATTTAATTGCATTAATCACATCTTTAATTTTCTATATTCTGATGCTTTGACATCTTGAGGCTGTGCTGACCTTGGAGGGATTGCTCCTTTCAGGGTTAGCCAATTTCTAGAGATAGTAAACAATTGGATTATCAAAGTGTCTTTCATATGCAAACCAACCACTCCAGAGTCCATATCTTCAATCACCTTCTTTATTGGCATTTCAGGCACAGGGTCACTATTTACATGCCCCAATCACCCCAGGTTTGGATATCAGACAACTAGGAAAAGCCCCTTAGCCATAGAGCCTGCTAAAATTATTCAAACTAGCTAATTCTAAACCTCCTTACTCTGACTTGACCATTGCTTCCCTTGGAAACCACAATAAAGCCTTTTACTCACACTCTCCCCTTGCCCTCTGCCTCCTGACTGACCCTGGTGCTTTCTCCAGTGACCCCCAATGGTGTGGCATGCCTCTTCTTGTGACCTGTGAATATAACAGTCTTTTCAATGACAGTGATTTCCTGATTTGTTGATCTTATCCACTTAAATAATAGTAAAAGCTACATTTTAAAACACCACCTTGGCACGGAACAGTGGCTTACTCCTGTAATCCCAGCACTTTGGGAGGCTGAGGTGGGCAGATCACCTGAGGTCAGGAGTTCAAAACCAGCCTGAACAACATGAAGAAACACCATCTCTACTAAAAATACAAAACTAGCTGGGTGTGGTGGCATATGCCTATAATCCCAGCTACTCAGGAGGCTGAGGCAGGAGAATTGCTTGAACTCAGGAGATGAAGTTTGCAGTGAGCTGAGATTACACCATTGTACTCCAGCCTGAACAACAAGAGTGAAATTCCATCTCAAAACAAAAAACAAACACTACCCCAAACAGACAAAAGCTCTATGGGGCAATTTATTTGAGAGCTGATCCCAAGAGTAGAAATAAAGTATATAGTAGTATTTTCAAAAGGAAGGAAAGCCAGTACAAGGAATAATTCCATATTTAAGTTGGCATGCAACTAATAACATGTATGATCTGGGGGGGCCCTCTGAGTTGCTTTATGAAATGTATCTCAGAACTGTCTAGTTGAAGGACATAAGAGGGCAGGATTTAGCCAATATCTTCCATTCCCTTATTAGTCAAGATAATCCCACGTGACTTAATTCTGCCACACATCCCATTTGCACATGCCTGACTGTCCAGTGGTCTGTAATTTGTCCCATGATTTGCCATCAGAGAAGCCCCTGTGCAAGAAGCAAGATATACACACTGCATTGGGCCAATGCAAGGCCCTGTCAGATTATGCTTGCCTAGAACTGGTCACCACAGCAGTGACTGGATTAAGAGAAGACATGATTTGACATGCACACAGGCAGTACCCAAAGCATCTTACACATATTTGTTTTGCAGTTTGTTGTGTCTTAAATCTCTTTAACTCTCTAAGTTCCCCCTCATTCTCTTTTTTATTCATTCTTTGCAAATTATTTGTTGAAGAAATATGGTCCACTATTATATAGACTTTTCCAGAGTCTGGATTTTGCTGATTGAGTTTTAATAATGTCATTTAACATGTTCCCCTGGCTCTATGTTTCTTACAAAGAGAGACTATAAGCTAGGCATGGTGACACACACCTCTAGTCCAAGCTACTGAGGAAGCAAAGGCAAACAAATGGCTTTACACCAGGAATTCAAGGCTGCAGTGTGCTATGATCACACCTGTGAACTGTCACTGCATTCCAGCCTAGGTTACACACTGAGACCCCATCCATAAAAAACTTTAAAAGTACAGATGTTTGTTTAACTTGAGGTACGGTTTGTATAGGAAGTCAAAATAAATGTTTCACTCTTTGCCTTTTCTAAAATAAGCTTTTCAAACAATGTTTGTTGTCTATCATCTTCCAAAGGAAATTTATTAATTTGTGAGGGCTGTCATAACAAAGTACCATAGGTGGGTTAGCTTTAAACAACAGAAATTTATTTTCTCACAGTTATGGAGGCTAGAAGCCTGAAATCAAGTTGTCAGCAGAGTTAGTTCCTCCTGAGGGGCCACCAGGGAAGAATTTTCAGGCTTATAGATGGCCATCTTCACCCTGTGCCTTCACACTATCTTCCCTCTGTTCCTCAAAACTCTACCAGCACCTACATATTACTCAATTCAAAAGACACTTCTGTATTCTTAAAGCAGCACCCCACAATCCAGCCCAAAATATTATACAAATGTCATCGAAATCAGGTATGAGTGACTCGAGGTATGATTCATCCTGAGGCAAAATTCCTCTCCATCTGAAAACCTGTAAAACCGGACAAGTTATCAGCTTTAAAAATACAATAGTAGAAAAGGCATAGGATAGAAATCCCTATTTCAAAAAGAAAAAATGAGAAAAAAAAAGGATCATAGATTGCAAGCAAATTCAAACCTGAACAGGGAAAATTCCATTAGATTTTAACACTCAAGAATAAATTTCTTTGGCTCAGTATTCTGTCCTCTGAGTCCAGGTGGCTACCCACATCAGCCTAGAAAACAGACCCACACCCTCTGGCACTCACAAGCAGATGCCTGGCTAGATAAAATCTGGAGCATACAGCCTCATTTTCCCTGGGCCTGTGCCTCTGGGATGAAGGTGGAAGTGACAGCCCTGCTGACATCTGATCGACCTTTGGGTTATTCTTCTCTTTTCTTGAAGGATAACACATTTACAGCTGGATAGCTTTACTAGCCCATTCTGTAGAATTCCAAAAGTCCATCAGCCTTCCTTCATTTTATCTTATATCTGTCCCCTTCAGTCCAAGCTAGCAGTATTCATTCCCAAATCAAGTTTGGTTCCTTTTTACTTAACAATTCCTTCCTCGAATTAACTCTTTTCTCACATTTTACTATAAAGCAAGAAAAAGAAGCCAGGTCAGGTCTTTGACACTTGGCTTAAAAATCTCCTCAGCTAAATATCCATTCATCACTTACAAATTCTACTTTCCAAAACACTGGAACACAATTTGTCCAAGTTCTTTGCTGCTTTATTACAAGAATAACCTTTCTTCCTGTTTCCAATAACATGTTCCTCATTTCTATTTCAGACCACACCAGAAGAAACTTATACATTTGTATTTTTACCATATGGTATTCATGATGATATATGTATTCCATAAGATGACAGAAGCCTTCTCTCTTTACAGTTCTTTTCTTTCTGAGCCTTCACTAAAATCATTTTAATGTTCATATTTCTACCAATAGTCACTTCAAACGAATAAAGGCTTCTACTAACATGCATCTCATTTTATTTTAATTACCATTTCAAAATTTTTAACTTTTAAATATTGTCACTTCAGATTCTGAGAGTTAGGACTACAACATATGGACTCTTTTGGAGACAGAGTTTCACTGTGTTGCTCAGGTTAGTGTGTAGTGGCTATTCACAGGCATGATTATAACTCACTACAGCCTTGAACCTCTGGACTTTAGCTATCCTCCTGCTTCAGCCTTCTGAGTAGCTGGGACTACAGGCATGTGCCACTGAGCCAAGCTTCACTGGGAAACACAATTTAACTAACAGGAACATTACTTTTTTTGCAAATATCAATATGAAATCTTTGTGTGAGACATATTTTATGCTTACAGTTCATTGCAGTTGTGATTTTTATTGATGCTCAGATTGCCCCATATTTGTCCCATGAGATTTTTATCAAATTGACTTCTGAGTCTCTTTGGCATGATCCAATGGTCTTTGCTACTTTTTTTGTGTTGTTTTGTTTTGAGATGGAGTCTTACTCTGTTGTCCAGGCTGGAGTGCAGTGGTGGATCTTGGCTCACTACAACTTCCGCCTCCAGGATTCAAGCAATTCTCCTGCCTAAGCCTCCCTAGTAGCTGGGATTACAGGTGCCCACCACCATGCCTGGCTAATTTTTGTATTTTAGGTAGTGATGGGGATTCTCCATGTTGGCCAGACTGGTCTCAAACTCTTGACCTCAAGTGATCCACCCACCTAGGTCTCCCAAAATGCTGAGATTATAGGCATGAGCCACTGTGCCCTGCCTGATACTTTCCTTGTATTATTATTTTTTTTAAATGTGGGAGATTTTCTTTCCTCTTCTCCAAAAGGGAAGAAAATTGAAACTGAGTGGATCATGATGGAAAGAGGGGAAATCCAGGGGTACAGAAAGTCCCTGGGTGAAGGCAGAAGCTAACATGGGATTCGGAGCAACTGTGGCCATCGGTCTCACCATCTTTGTGCTGTCTGTCATCACTATCTTCATCTGCTTCACCTGCTCCTGCTGCTGCCTGTACGAGATGTGCTGCCAACCACATCAGGTTGTTACCACCATCACATTCACCACTGTGGTGCACGCCCCTTACACTCAGTTTCCAAGTGTGCTGCCCAGCTACCCTTGACTGAGCTACAAGAGCTACCACCACATTCCCCCCAGCCAGGGATGCCAGCAGCACCCTATCCAATGCAGTACCCACCACTTTACCTGGTCCAGTCCATGGGACCGCCGGTCTACCACAAGACCCTGGCTGGAGGAGCAGCCGTGCCCTACCCTGCTAGTCAGCCTCTTCACAACCAAGCCTATATAAATGCCCCAAAGGTGTCCCCCTGAGCATACCACATCATCTCTTCTGCTACTCAGTTATGTTCTGTGTGTGTGAGTGGTATGCAGGCACAGTTCCTTACACCCCGTGTGTGCTGTGTGTGTCCTGCCTATATATGTGGCTTCCTCTGATGCTGACGAGATGGGGAATGATCCTTGCCGGAGTGGGCTGGGACCAGACTTTGTTCTCTTCCTCACCTGAAATTATGCTTCCTAAAATGTCAACCCGAACTCAAAGAATAGGGCGAGGGGAAAGCACCCTGCAAGGTGGCCCCTGAGAGGTGGGGGTCTCTCCAAGGCATTTCTGGAGTTCTTTTCCAGCCTACCCTAGGGTCACCAAGTGTGACCTATCACACCAGGATGGTGCAGCTTTCAGTGAGTATGATGCAGGTGTGACCCGGTTTCTGCAGCATAACCAGCTGCTGCTCAATGCCATGGCTTGTCCCCAGAGCTGGGTGTACCCTTTGCAGAGGCAGGGACCTGATGCAGGTGAAGTTTGGCATCTGATCAAGTTGGGCTTTTGTCCTTTGGGCTGAGGTACCATTGCTCCCTGGAGCCTGTGTCATGCCCATTGGGGGTCAGGCAGCCTTCTGATGCCAGAACACCTCAGGCAGACACCTACTCGCTTGATAGTTGTCTGCCTGGACTGTCCCTGTCCCTGTATCCTCCGCGGGACCACCTGGAGGGCCACATCCACACACAGCCTAGCTGCCCATAGGGAGCTCTTCTGCCCTTTCTGGCCTGCTCTTCCCACAGGTAATCACGATGGCCTATCCACCAGAACACTCAAGTCTATTCACTGCAGTGTTTTCATTTTATTTTAACTAAATATTTTGCCTGTTTTCTGTTTTAAAATGTGATAGTTGATGTGAGACTGAAACATCAGTAAATTGGCCCAGAGGAGAGGGATAATCTGACAACTGTGAGACCCTACTTTCCCTGATACTAGCCTCATGGAATATGAAACTCCTATACCCCAGTCCAGTGTGTTCTGGCAGTAGGGACACCTGGGCCAAGAGGCCATCTGGACCAAAGATGGGGTGTGGGGCCCTGGATGGTAGCTGTGGTCCAGACATTAATACCTCAGTGTTCCCCATCCTTCTGTTACTGTTTCACCAGACCTGTCTTAGCTTCATATCTCTTGTGTTTCTAAGAGTCTAGGGTCTGCACACTTGTTTATAATAAATGCAATCATTTGGAAAAAGAATTTTGTGGGCACATGGTAGAGGTATGTATTTATTGAATACATGAGATGTGATACAGGCAGGCATTGTGAAATAAGCCCATCATGGAGAATAAAATATCCATCCCCTCAAGCATTTATCCTTTGAGTTACAAACAATTCAATTACAACTTTTTTTTTAGACAGAGTCTTGCTCGTTGCCCAGGCTGGAGTGCAGTGGCACGATTTCAGCTCACTGAAACCTCTACCTCCTAGGTTCAGTGATCCTCTGTCTCAGCCCTCCAGTAGCTAGGATTACAGGCAGGCACCACCATGCCCAGCTAATTTTTTTTTTTTTTTTAGTAGAGATGGGGTTTTGCCATGTTGGCCAGGCTGGTCTCGAACTCCTGACCTCAGGTGATCCACCAGCCACCCAAAGTGCTGGGATTACAGGTGTGAGCCACCATGTCCAGCCCCAATTACACTCTTTAAGTTGCTTTAACATGTACAATTATTATTGACTATAGTCATCCTGATGTGCTATCAAATGGTAGTTCTTATTCATCCTTTCTAATTATAACCTGTACCCATAAAACATTCCCATGTCCCCCACATGTCCCCGCTACCCTTCCCAGCCTCTGGTAACCATTCTTCTACTTTTTATCTCCATGAGTTCAACTGCTTTGATTTTTAGATCCCACAAATAAATGAGAACATGAAATGCTTGTATTTCTGTGCCTGGCTTATTTCACTTAACATAATGAACATGTTGTGAATGACCAGATCTCATTCTTTTTTTGTGGCTGAGTAGTACTCCATTGTGTATATGAACCACATGTTCTTTTTCTTTTCTTCTTTCTTTCTTTTTTTTTCAATACAGAGTCTTGCTATGTCACCAGACTGGAGTGCAGAGGCACGATCTTGGCTCACTGCAACCTCTGCCTCCCGGGTTCAAGTGATTCTCCTGCCTCAGCCTCCTAAGTAGCTGGGACTATAGGCACACACGATCACATCCAGCTAATTTTTGTATTCTTAGTAGAGATGGGGTTTCACCACGTTGTCCAGGATGGGAATCCATCTCTTGACTTTGTGATCCACTTGCCTTGACCTCCCAAAGTGCTGGGATTACAGGTGTGAGTCACCATGCCTGGCCAGTACCACATGTTCTTTACCCATTCATCTGTTGATGAACACTTAGGTTGCTTCCAAATCTTAGCTATTGTAAACACTGCTGCAACAAACGTAGGCATGCAGATGTCTCTTTGATATATGGATTTCCTTTCTTTTGGGTATATACCAAGCAGTGGTATTGCTGGATCATATGATAGTTTAATCTTTTTTTTGTTTTCTGAGGAACCTGAAAACTGTTCTCCATTGTGGTTGTACTAATTTACATTCCCACCAAAGAGTGCACAAATCCTAGCCAGCATTCGTTATTACCTAACTTTTGGATACAAGCCATTTTAACTGGGGTGAGATGATCTTGTAGTTTTGATTTGTATTTCTCTAATGATCAATGATGTTGAGCACATTTTCATATGCCTGTTTGCAATATGTATGTCTTCTTTTGAGAAATGCCTATTCAAATATTTTGCCCATTTTTTGATTTGAATTACTAGATTTTCTTCAATAGAGTTATCTGAGCTCCTTATAAATTCTGGTTATTAATCCCTTGTCAGATGGGTAGTTTGCAAATATTTTCTCCCATTCTTTGGGGGTATCTATTCACTTGGTTGATTGTATCCTTTGCTGTGCAGAAGCTTTTTAAATTGACACAATTTCATTTGTCCATTTTTGCTTTGGTTCCTTGTGCTTGTGAGGTATTTACAAAGACTGTGTTTTTCTCAGTGCATGTTCTTGGCACCTTTGTCAAAAATGAGTTCACTGTTGGTGTGTGGATTTGTTTCTGGGTTGTCTATACTGTTCCATTGGTCTGTGTGTCTGCTTTTATGCCAGTACCATGCTGCTTTGATTACAATAGCTCTGTAGTATGATTTAAGGTCAGGTAATGTGATTCCTCCAGTTTTGTTCTTTTTGCTTAGGATAGTTTTGGCTATTCTGGGTCTTTGTGGTTCGGTATAAATTTTAAGATTATATTTCTGTGAAGAATGTCATTGGTATTTTTATAGGGATTACACTGAATCTGTAGATTGCTTTGGGTATTATGGACATTTTAACAATATTGATTTTTGCAATACATAAACAGAATATTTTTCCATTTTTTGGTAATCTCATCAATCTTATTCTTCAGTGTTTTATAGTTTTCATTTTAGAGATATTTAAGTTCTCTGGTTAATTCCTAGGTGTTTAATTTTATGTGTGGTTATTGTAAATCAGATTACTTTTTAATATCTTTTTTAGATTGTTCACTGTTGGCATATGGAAACACTACTGATGCCCACGAGATGGCCATGAGTGTGTTCTGGTGTCAGCAGAATAGCAATGCCTGGGACTTCACCACAACCATAGTCTCCTGTGGTCCCATGGAGCTACAGATGGAAGGGAGCAATGGCAAGAAACAAGTGCTGAGCAGTTTTCACATGGTGCTGGAAGACATGCTGCTTTTCCCTGAGGGCAGAAGACAGCCTGATGACAGTGATACAATCAATGACATCTCTGTGCTGAGAGTGACCCACTGTGTGGCATAGGCTGATCACTTCACACAGAACCCCTGGATCCTGGAAGCCGGTCCGGGTCTGAGTAGACTTGGAGTGGAGGTTTGACCACATGCAGCAGCATTCACGGCAGCATCTCATCACGGTAGTTGCTGATCATCTGTTTGAGTTAAAGACAACATCTTGGCAGTTAGGGAGATCTCAGAGTGTGATGGAGCTGGAAAATCCCTCTGCGAATGCAGAGAAAATAACTGCCACCGAGCAGAGTGGAAAAAAAATATCAGAGATCAGCTGCTCATGAAAGCACAAAAACTGAGGCTGAGGTGGAGCAGGTGAGAGGCTGGGGTCTGCCAAGATGATCATACTGGGCCCACTGGAATTGTTACCATCAAGGCTGTTGATTCCAACATGTGCTGTGGGATTTACATGAGCAATCTCCATGACCTTCTGGTCATTAAGATTGTAGACACTGAGAAAAGGAAAAGGAATAAAATCAACCTGATATTTCTTGCTGGGAAGCAGATGCTGAAGTGATGGAGAGAAATCATGGAACTGAAAAAGCACTGAATCACTCTGCTTAAGTGTGGAGCAGAGGATCACATGCAATGAGATCGGGTCAGAGGATTCCTTCTTGTTCTTAACCATGGGTGATGAGAAAGGTGCTGGGCTCTTTTTACTGGCAGGGCTACCTGAGACAATGGAGATCCTGGGGCCCAGGATGGATAAGGTCCTAGAAGGCAAAGGAGCAGGGAAGAAAGGCTGCTTTCAGGGCAAGGTCACCAAGATGAGCCAGCAGTTAGAGGTGCTGGTGCTTCTCCAGAACTACATCAGCCCAAAGAGTGCTAAGGAGTGAGGGCTCAGGGTACTTACCTCCTGTTACCACAGAAGGAGTAGTTTGGAAAATTAAATAGCTTGACTCAAAAAAAAAGAAATGCTACTGATTTTTAATGTTGATTTTCTATCCTGTAATTTTACTGAATGTGTTTATCAATTCTAATAGTTTTTAGTGGCATCTTCAGGTTTTTCAACTATAAGATCTAATCATCTGCAAACAAGGGTAATTTGACTCCTTCCTTTGCAATTTGGAAGCCATTTACATCTTTGTCTTGACTGACTGCTCTAACTAGGACTTCTGGTTGTATGTTGAATAACAGCAGTGACAGTGGGCATCCTGGTTGTGTTCCAGATCCTGGAGGAAAGGCTTTCAGTACGTCCCCATTCGGTATGATACAAGCTGTGGGTCTGTTGCATATGTCTTTTGCTATGCTGAAGTATCTTCCTCCTATCCCCAGTTTTTTGAGGGTTTTTATCATGAAAGTGTATTGAATTTTATCAAATGCTTTTTCAGCATCCATTGAAATGATCATAAAATTTTCATCCTTCACTGTGTAATATTGATGTATTGCATTGATTGATTTGTGTATGTTAAACCACTGCATCTAGGAATAAATCTTACTTGGTCATGATGAATGACCTTTCTAACGTATTGTTGAATTCAGTTTGCTAGTATTTTGTTGAGGATTTTTGTATTAATGTTCATCAGAGATATTGACCTGTATTTTTCTTGCTTGCCTTTTTAATTTTTTTAATGGGTCTTTGCCTGGTTTTGGTATCAGG